CCCCCCCCCCCCCCCCCCCCCCCCACTGGACGCCTGGGTCCGCGCTAAACCTGGCTATTGACTCTGGGAGAACGAAACGGCTAGAAAGCACCACGCCGGGAATACGACACATAGACGCTTTCTTCTGTGGTACAACAGAGCAATACGCTACTGCCACGGGTTTTGCTCAACATAATACGAATGCAACTTACAACAGACCCCAACACAGGAGAACACAAAGTTTTGCAGGTGTGTCATTCAACTGCGCGCTGCGAGGCGGATCAGCTTTCCTTCGACAACGGCCAGAGGCGAAGAAAAACGCCTTCAGGTCTACCAGGCGTGAAGGGGAACTGATCAAAACCTAAGCGAGAAACGGTCACACACACTGCATCTATCAGTCAACATTATTCCACAACACACATGTGTATATGAAAACATAAAACCGGTGACCCCCTCGCGCAGCTGCGAATCATCATCACTCACAACGATAACCCTACTATGATGAAGTGAATGAAGGACAGTCTACGTCGCTAAAACACACAATTGCGCTACATGCCAAACCCAAACTTCCCCACGACGAACATCCAAACGAACATCAAAATACTTCCGCTCGAACAAAAAAGACCCCTCACCACAACCGAAGATTTTCTTCCAAACGAGCGCTGTTGACACATTGTTCCCTAGGCAAACACCCACCCATCAAGCGTTCAAAAGAAAATCAAGCTCTATTATGGTTGGTAAAATTGAATCGACGCTCGAAGCTGATTCGCCCAACCGACGCGCATCGATCGCACTGACTTCCCCCAGGTCCATCGCCACCCGGGGACAGCTGTTTGAACGGTGGTGGGGTAGCACGCAGTGGGGTATCAATAACCATCCACAGCAGCGTCTAAAACCGGCAGGACACCGACCGCTTGCTCGCCGCCGCCTGTTCTACACTTTCCCTCCTGTAACCCCTTTCCTCCCCACCCTCTTCGTCTCTCTCTCTCTCTCTGTGCCTCTCTCTCACGATCCCCTCGTTGTATCTCCCTCAGTACAAGAAAAGGGACAGGCTCAGGGCCATGATGGCCATGCCGGCGATGATCGAGTTCGTGGTGACCTTGTCGGTGGGGTCGTACCGCACTGCCGTCGGGATCAGCTCGTGGATCGTGATATTCACCATCATGCCGGCCACTACGCCGAACAGCAGCCCGTACACCAGCTCGCTCATGATGTCCTTCAGGACAAGCCAGCCCAGGCCGGCCCCTATGGGCTCGCTCACCCCGGACAGAAGAGCCCACCCGAAGGCTTTCCAGCGGTTGCCGGTGGCGTAGTAGACCGGGATCGCCACGCACAGGCCCTCCGGGACGTTGTGGATGCCGATGGCTATCGCGAGCGCGAGTCCCACCGAAGGGTCCGACAGACCGGCCACGAACGTCGCGAGCCCTTCCGGGAAGTTGTGGATGCCGATCGCAACCGCGGTGAGCAGGCCCATGCGCACCAGCTTCTCATTGTCGCCGTCCGCTACGGCCGGCGACCCCCCCTCGCTCTGCACCGTCCCCGACGGGGCCGCCGCCGCGGTCACCGCCGCGGAGGGACCCTCTATTATGTGCTCCATCCCGGAACCTTCTTCCATGAAGCCCACCACACCGGTCTTGTTGCTGCTGCTGCCTCCGGAGGGCGTCAGGGCCGACACCGGGGAGGACTGATGCGCCTGGACCTTGCCCGCCATGCTAAGCTGGAGCGTGTTGAGATCGGGGGAGGGGCGCACGGCCGAGCCCCGGGACGCGAGCTCGACGACAACGTTGTGGTCCGCCGGGAACGGCTCCCCACCGTCGTTCGGGTTGTTGCTGCTGCTCGCGCCGCCCGGCTGCAGCGCCGGCTTCTTCCTCTTCTTGTCTGCGGCGGCGACGGGGGCGGCGCGAGGGCTGCTCTCCGAGGAGCCGGAGGAGCCGTCCAGGTCGTAGAGGGAGATGTCCACGTTGTGATCACGCACGGGGCCCCCCTCAAGCAGGTGCACCACCAGGTCGATGCCCTTGTACAGGAGGACGCCCCCGAACAGGCTCAGCGTAGCGTAGAGGTACGAGTCAGCCTGGGGCAGGGACGCGTTCGGTCATCAGGGGGGAGGGGTTGAGCGGGGGAAGGATTGACCTCGGGGGTGATAATGCCAAACGTTAAACCAAACACGGCTGCCGTGTATGCAGAGGCTGAATAAGGGTGGTGACAACACACGGAACAACAAAAAAGGGACAGGGATGTGACAGGGGGGCGGCAGTGAGCGATCGGTTCAAAAGACTTGAAATTTCGATCCCCGCAACACCACCAGGGCTGCCAGGTCGTTAAGTGTCATTTCTTTCGAACCTTCGGGCACGTCTCCAAACCAAACATTACCGGTGCAAATTATCGCGAACGATTGCCCATCCAAGTCCGACATGGCGGGGTGGCTATGTGCCCACCAATCTTTACACTATTCGTGGAACGGGCGATACACGTCAACAGTATCTCCCCTTCGGCTGCCCGCACCACATGAATCGACATCTGTCACCTCCAGTTTGTATTTCGCGTGAAAGAAGACTTGTCACTACACCTCCTCAGCACGTGCCGAAGCGGTCTTGTGGACGACACAAAGCGGGTTGGGCTCAAGTCCTGCGCCAGAAACCGTGTACGGGGCCTAGCGTCTAATCGGATGTTGGGGCGTGTTTTCGGCCTAGGCAGCTGGCTAGGTTGGACTGGCGATGACAGAATGAGAGTTTGTCACCAAGGCTCCTTTGATTAAGGCACCTTCCTTCGAGTAGAAAATGCGTAAACTGACAAACAAACGCAATACGAACCATGCGGAAACGGTCGAAGTCATGAAAAACACACTGGTGTTGGACCAGAAATGCTCCGGTGGACCAAAAACGTGGAACAGGTCCATGTCAGCAAAAACCTGGCACTAAACGTAGCGGTCATTCCAGCTTGCATGCGGCAAGTTGACAAAGTTTCGACTTGACAAAGCACGTAAAATTAAGAATATATCCGCCTATACAGATGCTTTTGTTCTTCTCCAACTGGCATTACTGATAACTCAGTGTGAGGCTCACACAAACTCAAAATAAGCCAAGTCTCCAGTTCGTTTCAATCCACTTACTGAAAAGTGAAAAGACTTCACCACATCCCTTTCAACTGAGGTTATATCTCGAACGGGTAGCCTTTGTGAGGTTACGTTTACTTTCTAGAAAAGCACAAAACCAAAAGAACGGCGAGTATACCTACCTCAGAAAAGCCGTGGTTGGCGAAGGAGTCTTGCGACTTGACGAAGATCTCCACCAGCGATACGTAAAGCATTACACCGGCTGCCAAGCCGAGCGATCCTGCAAGAAACCGCTTGCTGGCTAGCTTGACCTGCGTGTCGTCGTGCGAGGAGGTAACCGTTCAGGGGGGCATCATAATTATAGTAAATTACGTACAAAGACCTCAACTCAGTCCGTTTGGCTATGTTATATCTCAACGGGAAGTCTTTCCTTGGATGTGGATCTGCCAACAATCATGGGACGAAGGTCCCTGGTTCGTATCACACAAGGTGTGCAGATCCGACCTGCTACTGCTGTGCGTTTGTGACCGGAATGGCCATAGCATTCGTGGCGAGCGAGTCGGGCAGTCATCCTTCGGGGCGGACGGTCAAGGGACTGTTCCGGAGATATTCGGGACCATACCCTTCTCCGAGTTGACATCAAAACATAAAACCCTTTCCCCCATTCGCCGAAGAGGCTTGAACCCAGGCCCTTTGACAGCTGTGGTTTAATCTTGAACGAGAAGGCTATTTTCATGTGTATTTCCAAATATGCCTAAAACCCGCGTGTTTAGCATCTGCTGCTGCGCAATCCAGTCAACAGATCATTTTACATGTCTTCAACAGGTGGGTGCTGCACCGAAAGATTCAAGATTCCGAAGACGAAGAGTTCGGCACGAGACGTCAGCAGCGAAGCAGACCAGACGTCAGCAGCGACGCAGACCAGCAAGAATCCCGACAGTCTGTACGACGTTATGCCCTTCCATACCACTGCAAATGGAGTTTGCAGCCTTGGCTTCTCTGCGCAATGTCGCTGCACTAACGGAAAGTTTTTTCCCATTCACTGCGAAAGACTTCTACCCGTGATCCCTTTTTGACCACTGCTGTGGTGCATCTTGAACGGGAAGTCTTTCCTGGATTGTATGCATAGGTTACGAACAACGAATGTTCCAAAACATGGGGGGGGGGGGAACTGGGGCAAAATGTAGGCATGACGTTAAACAATGTCCCTTGTCAACGGCGACAAGGGCGATGTACACTTTAACAGTATTGAGTAAAAAAAACACGCCGTGAATGATCTGTTGGATGAAACTAAATAGGGTCCAATGCTGGCAGCATCTGGATAGTTTCTTCATTTTTCCGACGGGTGAAACGCTGCTGCCTCGCGTGTTGGGGGCCGGAACAAAACACGGGGGTACACTAGGCGTGGGAGAACCTTGCATGTTTTCTCCCTCGTTACATTTAGGCAGGAACAGCAGGAGAGGGTCGACCCCCCCCCTCCCACGTGACCCCGTTTGGGTCGTCTAGCTGATAGAAGTGGAGGATAGGGGCCAGAGGGGCAGACGTCAGAGTGCAATAATGGGAGCCAAAAAAAAATAAAAAATACCACTACCAACGGCGGTTGTTGGATACTAGGCAACTAACTACTGTACCCGCCCGATGTTTGCTCGTGCGATACTTCGATCGGTCTTGAAACACACACAGCAGTCCCACGCGGTAAGTTCATGGACTGACGCGTGCATGAAAAGCGCAAACGGCGCCCCGATGGCAAGACGCACCTTACTTCTGTTCATCCTCCACCCCACGATACCTACAAAGGAGCGATTAGCATCTTGTTCTTCGCTTCAGGTTTGAAGCTTTCAATCTTTCAAAAAAACTGAGGGTACTTCCGGATTTTCGCATGAATCTGGTCGCACACCGATTGCCTGCGAGGGTTGAGGGTTTACCAACTGGCGACAGAGTCGACAGCTACAAAGGCTGTTGGTGCTGCTGCCTGCTGTCCAAATGTCCGCGGGCGTTGTCTCTCTCCCTCTAGATTCAGTCTCTCTCGCTGGGGGAAGATCTATCAACAATGTACCCTTACCCCTATTCGCCCAAGAACAACGTAACAGCTTTTTCGCAGCATGCAGTTCCCAACATAGGACCACCCTGTCCATTGGACGGCCACCAACACGAATTCTCAAGGCGCAGCAGACAGCGATAACACTGCAGTACGAGTGCAGAGATCGTATGCCGTTTCGCGTGTGTGGATGTCGGGTGACATGTTCCGGTCCGAGCTAGCTACAACCTGTTTTCCCGTGAGACACAGCGAGACAAACTACTGAAAATGTGTTTTGTACCGACTGCTCGTAGATATCAACCACAGATTTCCTTCTTCCCCTCGCTGCCTCGGCAAGGTTTTGCGTAGGCATGACCCATAGCGAGGGGGGGGGGTCCGTCTAGCGAGCAGGGGTAGACTCACCCTCAAGGGACCGATACCTTCTTGCTGCGGCGCGCGCGCCGCGAGGCGTGCGTAGTGGTGGAGTTGGGTCGGCACTGGTGCGTCAGGTACAAAGGTGCAGATGCGCGGGCCTCCAGGCCGTCGGTGTAGGCAGCAATGCCCATCTCATCTTTGTGCGCGGAGGCAGACGTAATCAGAAAGGTGGACGGCCGTTATGTACACGACCCTAGGTTTGATAGATAGAAGGAGCTGTACTGTCTCAGCAACCTGGCTTTGCCGTCCAAGGAGGAGGGGACAGGTGGTGACGAGCTGATTGGGCTGGTTGACCCTTCGGCGCGAGAATTTTCAGACCAAGAACCCTAAGTGCAACGAGGGAGAAAGCGAGGAACCGACTGGGAAGGACAGCAACGAGAGCGTGTACGAAGCGGAGCGGGTCGAGTTTGGTCGTGCTAAGACTGGCCACAGCGGCACCGGAGCAGCGGCACCGGAGCAGCGGCACGGGAGTATAGGGACGGCATCGAACCGTGGCGCACGGACAAACATCTATTGTGTTGCCAATTATTTTCCTAGCTTGTCCTCAATACAGGTGTTGGGTGCGTGTGATGACGTTACTGGTTTTGTAGAGAGACGCCGCAGAGATGGCGCGGATAACCCGGGTGCCTCAATTGTATACCCGCATCGTGGAAGACCCCTTCAATGTGGAACGATTCCTAGTCAGTGTCGATGTACACTGCTGTGCCTCACACAGATAATCTGGATAGATTCGGGTGATTGTCAATTGCAATGATAGCTTTGGTTGGGTGTTCATCTTCATTGTATGTCCACGGACTCATTTAGACAGCACTTCAGACAGCAGCTGCATGCCCCGAGCTTGTGTACCATGCACCATGGTGTTATTATTGTACAGACAGCACTTCAGACAGCAGCACGCTGTAGCCGACAAACATTCATTTTGGTTATATGCGGGACAAGGGGGGTGATGCTGCTGCTGTAGTTGAATTGTAGTGTGTGGGCGTGTAGTTCAGTTGTGAGAACGCAAACGTGCTGCAGGGATTGCAGGTGTACCTCCTTGGGCTTGTGTACCCCTTCGTGCTTCGTGCTTCGTGCTAACAGTGTGAGTGTGCTTTAGATCTTCTGGTGGCTCTAGCATTTTTGTGACCACGGACCGAGTCGTTGCTAGATTTTGGGATTAGCAAGTGACACGAGTTTAATGTGAAGAAAAACAACAACAACAACCCTCGGCGGGTCACGGAGGGATACATACCGCAGCGTGATACAAGAAACACGACGCGCTGAACCAACCCGCCGAACCAACCCGGACGTGTGTGGCATTCATGAACTCAGGGAGATAGCGGGTATTTCCCCCATCAAGGGAACGGAAACCTGCACACGGTACGAGCTGCGCCCTCCTCCATGTGTGTGTGGACGGGGGGTGTAGGGAGCACGGCTATCCCAGAATGTATTTTGCTATGCCATGCATAGTCTACGTAGGTTGAGACGAGAGCACAATCCAATACTGAGCCGTGCTTGGAAAAGCGAGATCCCCAGGTAGTGGCAGCTCCGAGAGAACACATGTAGTCAACACGACACTCACCAGCTTCTGGTTGAATACGACGGCCGCTCCGATGGCCGTCGACAGCCCGGCGCAGATGACCAGCACGAAGGCCATGGGGGCATTGTCGGTGTTCTGCTCTGCGGTGCCCATGATGTTCCTCTTCCACTTTCTCGATGCGCGCGAGAGGAACGCAACAATCAACCCAAATACCCTCTATATCGCACGCGTTCCTTCCAGTTCCGGACCTCTCCGAGCGGAAGCTGGTGCCTGAGCTCTGAGGCTGTGTGAGCGTAGCCAGAGGTAGTGATAGGGCGGGGAAGGCGAGACGGAGCCGCCAGTCGTCAGTGGTGGCCGGCAGGTCCAACACACGCCTCTGAGGAGAAATCTTGGCGCGACGCGAAATCATTAAAAGCAACTTGCTCGTACCCACGTCAGTAGATCTTGGTGCACTCTGTGAGCCCCCAATCAACTCTCCGAACTGCTCACTGTGCTGTTGTAGTATACCGGCTCATGTCTCGCACCTCTGCAGAGAACTGTGCAGCAGTGTATAGAATGTATGGCTGGAAGGAGAAAAAAGAAGGGCCAGGGAGGAGAATCAGTGAAGAGGGGCGTGATGTACATATGTACACGCAACAATCCGTGGATAGATTATGTGGATAGACTATTCATCGAAAATGCGGGAAAATGCCCTCGGAAAACTCGTTGCCCCGAGATCCCGAAAGTCCACATGCTGCACGTACTTACGTCGCCATGGCGTTAGCACGAGCACCTCTGCGGAACGAAGCATGATGCCAATACACCGAATTTGCCGACGTATGGTTTGTGACGCATCTCCTCCGTTTTCCGGAGGAAGTTTGTACATTGTCTACGCGCCACCTATACAACCAACCATCTACATATCTCACGCACACCACTACGTTGTAGTTTCCACCCACCACATTTGGCAGACGGTAAGTGTAGCGCCTACATTTATACACTTGCTTCTCGGCTTCCGAACCCACGCCCCAATCAAGTCCATATCGGCAAAAGCAAAGCTCGAGGTTCTTGCTTCGCGCGCCTCACATAGTCCATATGTACACGCGTACAGTAGTGTATGATGTCAGCCTACCCTCGTCCCCTGAAGTAACACCACTAAATGTACTAAGAGCACAATGACAGCAGTGTAGACTATATCAGAGGCGGGACCGTCATGGTTGGTTAGGCAAACAAGCTTGGTTGCATCTTGTCCTCTTGCCCGTTGAACACACATCACAGCAGTGGGCTCGGGCCGTTGCGAACGTCTTTGTTTTTCCGCCTGCATGCCCACCGGCAGGGGTCTCTCTGCCTGCACGCACGGGAGCGCAGTGCCCATGCAATCATATCCAATTCATTAACTTACATTTGCTAACGAAGTAGACTATTTCACAATCACACAAAGTGACGCCAATGAAAGTGGCAGCATGTGTGGTACCCACACAAAGCGTTGTGCCACTGTGGTACGTCACAGTCTTGAGTTCGAGATGACCCATGGTTGGATATACTCCAGACAGGGCAAGCAACTCATTCGAAGGAGAGTGGTCCTGGCTGAGATCTTCAGCAAGTTATACAAAAAGTAACGGTTGATCTCTCTCTCTCTCTCTCTCTCTCTCTCTCTCTCTCTCTCTCTCTGCAACCGCCTCCGAATACCGTGCGCTAGAAATAGGGGTGGTGCTCTTCTCTATTCAACCGCAAAATATTATGCGCTTCTACCTGCCTGCTCTGACGGTTCAATCATCTCGTTTCAAGCGAAGGGGGTAAAATCTTCGGTCTAGCCGGCCTACCTGAAGCTACATTTTCAACCACGTGCTATTCTACGAAGTCATGACTCCGGAGTCCACTACATGCCTCGCCATCTAGCACACTGCGCACAGACTACATCCAAACAATTACTGGATTCCCCGTATTCTCGAGCAATACTAAGAGCCCCAGGCGAGGCCGGCGGTTCTAGATGCGATCGTTACGTCCACCTATCACAGCAGACATTCTTCTCCCCCAGCTTCCTCCTAGAGGAGAATCTCTTGCTCAAGCAGGGCCTTGATCTCTACCGACACCGGGGTGAGCTGTACTAGGTGCTGCCCTGTCGCTTCCTGCGCACAGCAGAGAAACATATCGGCGTTGGTGGAAGCAGCAAGTGGGGGACATGGGGAGAAGTGAACGCGACAGCGGGGCACGCCACGTCAACAACTCCACCGCAGCGGCGGCAGCGGTAGGCATTCTCGACAAAATTACCTCTGATTCGCGGTGACACCCGGAAACCTTACGAGCGCCCTTTTGCGACGAAACGAGTGGGAAGCAAACCACATCAATCACACGCACAGAAAGTAGAGAGGCCAAAGATGCATGAAAATGAGGACAGGGAAGAACCGATGGGGAAATCCTCACGGCCTACAATTTCTACAGTATTTTTGTGCTTTGGCTCTCACCCGACATCAAAGCACACATCACAGATGAACAAATAGTTGAAGTAGCACCTAAATTACATGTTGCCTGGAAAACAAAACCTGGTATCACACAACCTATTGGATTGATCGTTTTCTACCAAGCAGATGTGCATACCGCACGTTGCATATACCACCACCCCCCTTGGACCTCTGCCGCAGAAACGGTTCCGAAACCGGCGTGAGGCGTTGAAACCGTCTTGTCGGGAGCTTCCCGAAACGCAAAACTTGAATGCGACATAATCTTCGTCGTGGAGTAATCGGGCTATGGAAATCGTTCCAGGGGGTGTGTTACCTTCCATAACATACGGCATTGCCCTTGCTCGGTTGGGGTAGTCGACCTCATCAACCTCGACCCCTCCCAAGCCTACTGCTCGGATCGGGCGTAGCGTTCAAAGCATGCTGAACGACATAGGCGAGGATACAGGAGGGGAGAGCAGGAGCTGAGCACGATGCACCAACGAAAAAAGAAGCGAACGAAAAAATAAATGCTGGCGTGCCTGGGCGTATTGGAGTGGCTTCATCACCATGTCCGTGTATCGCTCCGACAGCTCCGGCTTGGGGGAAGGCACTTCCTCGCCTTTCGAGTTGCGGTAGGCGGTTCGGTACATCATTGCCCTGACAAACGGGCTAGACGCGAAGTCCTAGGGGAACCAAGGCAAGGCAACGCCGGGCAAGACGCGCGACGGGGGTCGAGACTATCGTGGGCACGAACAACGTGCGGAGCGGTGCACGCCACGCAATATGGGTAGTAAGACATGCTGCTGTTGTTGAACACTGTGTCACTGCAGGATTCGCTGCCACATCCGGTCGGCCCATCTCCTGCTACCGTTGACCTGCCAATACCGTGGAAAATATCACCGCTACCTCTGCCCAACAATACCCCTACACCGCGTGGTGTCCCACGACATCGTTCTGAAATATCCGGCAAAATCGATAACAAGCAAGAGACTGGCAACATCTAAGGAACTGGCGAGCTCAATTGTCACCCCCACACCCCCAGACATGAACTATCTGCAAAAAAAACATCAGTACCTGAAAATAGCCTGAGACAACAAGCCTAAGGCCCAAAATAGGGTTCTCAAAGCGGGACCGCATTTTGTACCTCATGCGTTCAGAACCGAGCTTTCACTCTGGACACACCGCCGTCGAAGAGCTCGGACAAATATGCTTGAAATTGGGGGTCCACTAGCGACCTCGCAAAAGCTTGAAGCATTACAGCTACAATCATATATGAGGGATGAGATCAACCGTACAGGTGCAGCCGAAGCGAGCGAGGCTTCGCAATCCCGACTTTTGAGTCCATTGTCGGACATTCCTACTAACACGCCGTCTACGCGCATTTCGAATAGCGAGCGGGTGCATTCCTGTGCAAATTCGTCAGAAACAAAAAAAAAACAAAAAAGCAGAACAAGGATGCTATGCTATACTTCGAAACATACGACAAGCACGTGACTCCCACCCACCTCCTCGCAGCTCTCCTTGGCAATGTGCATCGCCGATGCTGCCCCCGGGAGCCCCGCGAGGTGGAAGCAGAGGCATGCGTGCTCGCACAGCCTGGCAGTCGCCATTCCGTTGGTGTTGCTATCACTGCTACCTCCCCCTTCTCCCTGACTTGCCAGCTTTTCGAGGGCATCCTCAAAGTTCTCAGCTCCGCCGAGCTCCGCCATGCCCTCCAGAAATGAATAGCAGTCCCTGGTCGTTACACGACACGGGCAGCGAAACAGCGGCTTGGACAAGGTCGATCTCAGGCGGGGGGTACGCAAATTGGGCAAAAAATGGCGACCGTTCTCCCGGTCCCCTCTTACAACGGCGTCAACGGCCCGCTTACATAAGGGTCACCTGGAACACCCCTTCATCTTTTCATTAATGATATATTCAGCGAAGACGAGAAGCACCGGCTAACACTTGTCGGTAAGGCGGTGTGAGCTAGTGTGATTCTAGATGGCGGAGTACTTGTATCTGTACACGTAGGCCCACTACGGTGATGGCAGTGGGTGTCCAATTGCTTCCATCCATTCTGTCTGACAGATTCCTTGTTGGGGAGGTGGTATCCACTGAGAGCAAGAACGTTTCGTAGCTCCATGAGATGAGAGTGGAGGTCAGGAGTGCTCGTCGTCATCAAAAGTCGACCCGCAAAACGAGTACAGTACACCATCCTCTCGACATGACGACATGCCTGAACTCTCGTCGCTCGTTGAGAAGGCCGAAGAAGAACACGTCAAGAGAGTTTCCGCCGTCACAGCACTCCAGGAGGGTCCGCTTGAAGGAAGCTGGTGAGATTCGGGTTGGGGATACAGATAGGGTCGGCGTTAGGGGGTTTCCTGAAAGATCAAGAGGCATTTTTTCACGCAGANGGGGGGGGGGGGGGGGGGGGGGGGGGGGGGGGGGGGGGGGGGGGGGGGGGGGGGGGGGGGGGGGGGGCGGGGATACCAGAGATGGCCGATAGGAGAAGGCAAAAGACATGTGCAACCGTTCATGCAAGCGTTACAGAATTCGACTCCGGAGTACAAAAGAACAAGACGCCCGGTTGGGTAAACGGTTGAGCCTGACGATCGTGAATTGGTCAGCCGGTTGTGGCACGATCGGTGTTCTTGAAACGAGCACGTACACAGGAAAGTGCCGTCAATACGAATGGGACCACCACGTCCGTTGTATCCTGCGTGACATCGGTGTAATTCGATGGGCCAGCGGGTTGACGCGGACGGCGCAACAGAAAACAAGCACGCCCTCCGCAAAACGCACACACAAAAGAACGCACCAGCGGGCGAAACCAGCAGCGTTCGATGCACGCTCACAGTTGAGCCCACACAACTTACCGTGCGCCTCAGAATTCAGGTACTCCTCCAGGCCGCAGCTATCGATCCCTCCCCCCTCCCCTGCCTTGCCTTCGTAGTCGAGGAAG